CTCCCGAGTAGCTGGGACTACAGGCGCACGCCACCACGCCCAGCTAATTTTTGTATTTTTAGTAGAGACGGGGTTTCACCATGTTGGCCAGGATGGTCTCGATCTCTTGACCTCATGATCCGCCTGCCTCGGCCTCCCAAAGTGCTGGAATTACAGGCTTGAGCCACCGTGTTCGGCCTTGTGTATTACTCTTCTTAAATTGCTGCATTTTTTTGAGACAGAGTTTTGCTCTGTCGCCCAGGCTGGAGTGCAGTGGTGCAGTCCTGGCTCACTGCAAGCACCACCTCCCCCCAGGTTCAACAGATTCTCCTGCCTCAGCCTCTCAGTGAAAGTATAGGTATTTGTATGACTTTATGTGTAGATAGGCAGATATAAATATGTATATGGATTTTCCTAATTGGAATATTTGATGTACAAAAATCTATTTTGGTATTTTTAGAGCTATTTTATGTTTTTACCAAAATATTTGATGTTTTTAGGCGTGGTTACTTGTTGAGTGTCAGCCATTGCCTAGGGCACTGGGAATATAGCAGGGGCACTTAAAACTGAGCCCTCTTGGAGCAGCTTCCTTTTGGCTGGTTCAGGGAGGTGAATGCTGTTGGAAAGCGTCAGCTCTTCACAAGCTGGTGGGTTTTGGTTGTCTGTGGATACATAGGGACCTTGGGTCTTGGTTGATAAGACCATTTTCTCCCTATGTGGCCACCTGAATCTAGCAAGATATAGTTTAAGTAGAGTCTCTTCAGAGAGTTGAGGATGTTGTGCTTGTTTTTTTGGGTTTACATCTGTGTGTACATTACCTTCCTCAGGCTTCCTCAGGCCCAGTGCTCATGGAAGGGACATTTAGGGAGTGACTACATATTACAGCCTTGAAGGCCAAGATTATGACTTGTTCATTTGAAATTCTTGCTGTCAGTAGAATAGGGGATTATGTCTTTTATTGTTCATAATGCCTAATATTTCCTGTAAGTGGTTTACATGTTTCTTCTTACTTTCAAAAGGTACTGTACCCCGCGCTATAGTGAGTTTGAAGAGCTCGAGCGGAAATACTGGAAAAATCTTACATTCAATCCTCCGATCTATGGTGCAGATGTGAATGGAACCCTCTATGAAAAGGTGAGACTCACTGGAAATGCTCTGCAGCGTTTTGTAATTTTGTAATACCTTTTTTCAGCCCGGCACGTACTAGGCACCTAAAAGCTGTTTGGTGAATGGGTGGATGAACAGGTGATCTACCCCCAGCTGATGTTGCTGTGCCGGCCTAATTGTGGATACTTTTGCATGTGACTGAATTTTATTTCTCCTGCTTTCCATGTGACTTTGATGATGTGGTGTTCTTTTCAAGGGTTGTTAGCATAGTCAGTGGGTGGTAGCTGATGAGTTCTTGAAAGGGTGGGTTGACTCTCAGATAATGAAACAAGGCAGTGTGGTTTCTGCAGAAAAAAGATGACTGACTAATCTAATGAAAGGGGTATATATTTAAGAAGAGAAATACACTTAGATTTTGCAGAGCCCTCAAAGAAGATTCTGTAGCAAAAACTATTTTAACCACTTTCATTGCTTGGGACATAGTGCTGCCTTAAATATGGTAGAAGGGGAGAATATTTGGAACTGTCTTCGGATGATTGAAAAACAGCAGGGCGTTTCAGGGATTATCACTCATACTGTTTTCATATTAATTTTAATGTTTTTTGTTTTTTTTTTTGAGATGAGGTTTCACCATGTTGGTCAGACTGGTCTCGAACTCCTGACCTCAGGTAATCCACCCGCCTCTGCCTCCCAAAGTGCTGGGATTACAGGTGTGAGCCACTGCACCCGGCTGAATTTTAATGTTTTTATCAATCGGAAGAGTTAAAATAATGAATTCCAGTTTTGATGATAACAGTTTTTTGGGGGTCAGGGGAAGTCAAGCTTGTAGGGAGAATGGCAGGAAGACGCTGTAAGGATCTGGGATGGGGAGGCACAAAAGTCAGGCATAATAATAATCCACGGCCTAGTTACGGGAGGCGGGCTCCCAGCTGGCCATTACAACTCAGGAAAAGGATATTGCATATTTTTTATGAAGACACTGCCTGGTAGAAATCAGGGCTAAAGAAGCCACAAGATTGCCATAGTTTTTTGTTTTGAGACAGAATCTTGCCCTGTCACCTAGGCTAGAGTATAGTGGTATGATCATAGATTACTATAACTCCAAACCCCTGGGCTCAAGGGATCCTTCCATCTCAGCCTCCCAAATAGCTGAGACTGCAGGCATATGCCACCTCACCTGACTACTTTTTTTAATTTGTAATTTTTTGTAGAGGCTGGGTCTTGCCTTGTTGCCCAGGCTGGTCTTGAACTCTTGGGCTCAAGCAATCCTGCCGTGGCCTCCTGAGTGTTGAGATTACAGGCGTGAGCCACTGTGCCTGGCCCACTGTCAGAATTAGTTTCCATGTTTTGCAGTTTTTTTGTGTGTGGTTATAGATTTTTCTATTTTGACCTCAATTTTT